GCCTGTAATCCCAGCACTTTGGGAGGCCGGGAGGATCACATGATCAGAAGTTCAAAACCAGCCTGGCCAAGATGGTGAAACCCCGTCTCTACTAAAAATACAAAAATTAGCCAGACTTGGTGGTGAGCACCTATAATCCCAGCTACTTGAGAGGTTGAGGCAGGAGAATTGCTTGAACTGGGAGGCAGAGGTTGTAGCGAGCAGAGATTTGGCCACTGCACTACAGCCTGAGAAACACAGCGAGACTCGGTTTCAAAAAAAAAAAAAAGGATTTGTTTTTCACTCTAGACAGATACTTTTTCCTTTTTTAAAAAGATAAGTGTTCACACCAAGTAGGCAGATGGATATTTGATTGTTTGATATCCTTGCCTGTAGAGGCAACTGCCCCAATTGTTAAGGCTTTTTTTTTTTTTTTTAATTTGTGGGGTGGAAATATGGATTTCCTCGGAGAGTAAAGTATGCTTTTTGAGTCATCTGTTAAATTTTCCAGGGTCCCCGTGTGTTCTACAGTCTTCCCTGGTTTTCTGAGTGGTTGGTAGGATACTACTTTCTGCTCTTACCCCCACCCAAGGGTAGTCATTTAAAGATCTATGTTCACTGAACAATTTATCCAAAAGCTCCTACTGATATAAAATATCCAATCCTGGCTTGAACTTCTGTGACTTGCATTTTACTCTAATCCATCCACATGGTACTCACATTATGCACTGACTTTATACAAAAAAGTCTCAGTGCCTGTGGATATCAGCTGAGTGTGTCATCACTTGGGGACTGAGATTACCTTTAGAACTCTTTTCAGCCTGGCACAGTGGCTCACACCTATAATCCCAGCACTTTGGGAGGCCAAGGCAGATGGATCATGAGGTCAAGAGTTCAAGACCAGCCTGGCCAAGATGGTGAAACCCCATCTCTACTAAAAATACAAAAATTAGCCAGCTGTGGTGACAGGCACCTGTAATCCCAGCTACTTGCAAGGCTGAAGCAGAGAATTGCTTGAACCCAGGAGGCAGAGGTTGCGGAAAGCCAAGATTGCACCACTGCACTCCAGCCTGGGTAACAGAGTGAGACTCCATCTCAAAAAAGAGAAAAGACTCTTTTCTACACCTTTCAAGGACTAAGACATATCATGGGTACACAGAGTAGGAACAAGGAATAGCTCCAGAGTCAATGTAAAGAAAGGATGTCAGAGCGAAAGAGTGACCAGATTAACACTGAGCATTCTTAGAAAACACAAGCAACCAAACAGCATTAGTCATTTGTTCTTTCAGCTCTCTAAATGAAGGCAACCTTGTTTGGACTTGGTATATCACTAGGTGACTATAGGGTGATGAGAGTTTTTCTGTTGGTAAAGCAGAAAACGGGCCAGCTTGGGACTTGAGATGGTTAAGGAGGCTCTGCTCATTGTTGCCATAAGGCCAGCTTGGTTCCAGTGGCTTGCTAGATCACCTTTGACCAAGGTGAAAGCAAATTTGTTTTCATTACATATTTCATTAGCAATGCTTCCCAACAGCCAAGAGACTGGGAATTGGTACATGTGCATTTTTCTGGGGATAGAATTATGAATAGGCGGCCGGATGCATGGGTCATGCCTGTAATCCGAGCACTTTGGGAGGCTAAGGCAGGAGGATCACCTGAGGTCAGGAGTTCGAGACCAGCCTGGCCAGCATGGTGAAACCCAGTCTCTACTAAAGTAGAGTACAAAAAATCAGCTGGGGGTGGTGGCATGTGCCTGTAATCCCAACTACTTGGGAAGTTGAGGCAGGAGAATTGATTGAACGCAGGAGGTGGAGGTTGCAGTAAGCAGAGATTGTGCCACTGCACTCCAGCCCGGGTGACAGAGCAAGTCTCCATCTCAAAAAAAAAAAAAAAAAAAAAAAAAATTATGAATAGGGTCTCAGACCAAGATCATTGTGTACTGATGGTTCCTGCATGCTAAGTTAGTATGTTCTCTGTTCCTTGGGGTGCTGATTTAAAATCCCATGGGGCTGGAGTTTACTTCCTTTTAAAATATATGTTTTTCTTTCTTTTCTTTTTTGTTGAAATGGAGTCTCTCCCTCTGTTGCTCAGGCTGGAGTGCAGTGGCACAATCTCTGGTCACTGCAACCTCCATCTCCTGGGTTTAAGCGATTCTACTGCCTCAGCCTCCAGAGTAGCTGGGACTACAAGCACCTGGCACCATGCCCAGCTAATTTTTGTATTTTGTACAGGTGGAGTTTCGCCATGTTGGCCAGGTTGGTCTCGAACTCCTGACCTCAAGTGATCCGCCTGCCTCAGCCTCCCAAAGTGCTGGGATTACAGGCATGAGCCACCGTGCCCAGCCCTTTAAAACTGTATCTTAATATAGTATAGTTACCATGAAGCTATTGTTGGGTTTAGATGGAAGTGGCTTCAGGCAGGTTCACAGAACAGCAGCAGTGGCATCATCTATGAGTTTGTTAGAAATGGGAAATGCAAATTCATAGATCCTACCACCAAACTCCTGAAAGCAGAATCTCTCTGGATGGGTTCCAGAAACTTAAAGAAACTCTACTTGTGCAAGATGGGACAAGCTAATGTCTGAGTGATGCTAAAGTTTGAGAGGGACTGAACTAAAAGCAAACCAGCTGGGCACGGTGGCTTGCACCTGTAATCCCAGCACTTTGGGAAGTCAAGGCCTGCGGATCACCTGAGGTCAGGGGTTTGCGGTGACCAGCCTGGCCAACATGGTGAACCACCATCTCTAATAAAAGTACAAAAATTAGCTGCACATGCCTGTAGTCCCAGCTCCTCAGGAAGCTGAGGCAGGAGAATGGCTTGAACTCAGGAGGTGAAGGTTGCAGTGAATCGAGATGGCACCGCTGTACTCCAACCTAGGCAACAGAGCAATACGCTGTCTCCAAAAAATAAATAAAAATAAAATAAAGCAAACCTTTTGGTATGCTCCTTGGGATGGCGGCGGCGGCGGCGGCGGCTGCTGCTGTTTTATTTTTCTTCTCCTTATCCCTTTGCAACCCTTTAACTCTGGTGCAAGCATGCTTTACTATTTATAAAGTTACTTTGCCTGTTCTCAGGCAGGAGGTAGGGATACTTTCCAATTTTTTTCAGATCATTCTTGTCAGCCTCTGGTAATTAACCTTGTAGCCAGGGTTTTTTGTTTGTTTTGTTTATTTTACATGTCATCCTTGTGGAGGAGGCATGTTAATCTCTATATTCCACTTTTAGCCTTTTGAAGGTGGCTCCTCTCTGAGTGCACTCCTTGTTTATGTAGATCCACAAGAGTTTGATGTTCAGTGTGATAACTTAAAATTAAGGCAGTTTATAGGATAAGGGCTTAGAGTTTTGGAGTCTAAAGACATTCTAGTGTTAAAAGAAAAACTTCAGCTGGGTGTGGTGGCTCACGCCTGAAATCCCAATACTTTGGGAGGCCAAGGTGGGCGGATCACTTGAGGTCAGAAGTTCCAGACCAGCCTGGCCAACATGACGAAACCCTGTCTCTCCTAAAAGTACAAAAATTAGCCGGGCGTGGTGGTGCATGCCTGTAATCCCAGCTACTTGGGAGGCTGAGGTGGAAGAATCGCTTGAACCCAGGAGATGGAGGCTACAGTGAGCCAAGATTCCGCCACTGCACTCCATCCTGGGCCACAGAATGAGACTCCATCTCAAAACAAAAACAAAAAACTTCAGGCTGGGTGGAGTGGCTCGTGCCTGTAATCCGAGCACTTTGAGAGGCTGAGGCAGGCGGATCCCTTGAGGTCACGAGTTTGAGACCAGCCTGACCAACATGGTGAAACCCCAGTCTCTACCAAAATATACAAAAATTAGCTGGGTATGGTGGCACATGTCTGTAGTTCCAGCCATGCAGGAGGCTGAGAAGGGAGGATCTCTTGAACCTGGAGGCAGAGGTTGCAGTGAGCCAAGATAGTACCACTGCACTCCAGCCTAAGTGCGAGACTCCTCAAAAACACAAGCAAACAAACAAACTCGCCAAATTAAATTTAAAGGCGTTTAATTGAGCAATGTATGATTCTCGAATTGGGCAGACCGTGAATCACAGCAGATTCAGAGAGATCCAGTATATCCATGTGGTGGAAGATTTACAGACAGCAAAAGGAAAGTGAGGTACAGACACAACCGGATTGGTTACAGGTTAGCGTTTGTCTTTTTGTTTTTTGTTTTTTGTGTTTTTTTTTAGATGAAGTCTTGCTCTGTCGCCCAGGCTGGAGTGCAGTGGCTCGATCTCGGCTCACTGCAACCTCTGCCTCCCAGGTTCAAGCAATTGTGCCTCATCCTCCCGAGTAGCTGTGATTACAGGCATGCACTACCACACCCAGCTAATTTTTGTATTTTTAATAGAGACAGGGTTTCACCATGTTGGCCAGGCTGGTCTCAAACTCCTGACCTCAGGTGATTGGCCTCCTTGGCCTCCCAAAGTGCTGGGATTACAGCGTTGAGCCACTGCGCCCGGCCTGCCTTTACATATATTTTCTTTGAGTGCCTCCCTTTTCACGTTGTTTTTCTTCCATTTCCTTTTCCCCCAAGAGAAGAATAAAAGGATTTTTATAAATTGTTAAGTCCATTGTTTCTGAGGAAAAGTGACTCACTCGTAAGGGATAAAGCAGTGAAAGTAGGCTGAGGTCATGGGTCACGAAGGGAAGAAAAGGTTGAGAGCAAAAAGAATTCTGGTGGTGGAGAGTGGTGGGTGGGATCAGCTGAGATGACACAGAAGCCCTGTCCTGAGATATATCTGGCCTCCGGGAGTGGGGACAGAGGTACTGCCTGAGTGGGAGCGAGAACGGATATGATTCCGACAGGCTGAGAAAGGAGAACCTCGCGGTAAAGGAGCTAGGCCTGAAATAAGGGGTGTGGCCATGGCTGGAAGGAAGAGTACGGGAGGAGAAGCGTGGCCGAGACCAGTAGCAAAAGAGGGCGGAGCCAGGGCCGCTCGAAGGCGGGGCGGGCACGGGACAGGGCGTGGCCCTGGGGCCGGGCTGGGCGAGTCATAGGCTCGGGAAGGGGCGTGGCCCCGGACGCGGTCCCCGGGCTACGGTTAGGGAAGTGGGCGTGGAGGAGAGATGGGCGGTGAAGAGGGCCGGCCCTGCAGGGGAGGCGGGCGGATCCGTGGCGATGACCAGAAGGGTCATCGGAAGGGGGTGGCCGTCGGCCGGGCCCCGCCCTGGGGCCGCCTCCCCGCGGGTTCCGTTGGCTGTGGCGGCAGCTGACGCTTGTGGCTGCGCTGGCGGCAGTGGCTTCGGGGTGGGCGTAAGATGGCGACAGCAGCGGCGGGAGCCCTAAGCTTGCTGTGGGGCTGGCTGTGGAGCGAGCGCTTCTGGCTACCCCAGAACGTGAGCTGGGCTGACTTGGAGGGGCCGGCGGACGGCTACGGGTACCCACGCGGCCAGCATGTCCTCTCAGTGTTCCCGCTGGCGGCGGGCATCTTCTTCGTGAGGCTGCTCTTCGAGAGGTGAGAGCCCGCGAGCGAGCGGAGCCGGGGACCGGGCGCGGGCCGGGGGCGCCCTGCTGTAGGAAGGGCCGAGGGCCGGAAGCAGAACTGCCTGCAGGGAAAGCCTGGAAGCAGGGGCTGGGGAAGCTTGGGCCGCGGCGGGTGATGCTAGGCGCATGGGCAAGGTGGTCGCGGAGCCTGGGTGGAGGAGTTTGGGGCGTGGGCAAGTGAAAGACTGGGGGTCTAGGGCAACGCTGTGCCCTTAAATATTAGATCCAGCGTTGGCTTGGAAGGGGGGTCTTATGGCCTCCTCTCAACCCCCAAGGATCCTACAGATGAGGAAACAGGTTCAGTGTGAGCACTGGTAGAGGCCCCGAAGACAGGGACAGGAAGGGGCCAGGAGAACCAGAGCTAGTTGTGGCCATGGAGCCGCGGGGTCAACGCCAGGGCCAGACGTTCCAAGGGAAAGGAATGGATTCATCAGACTCTAAGATTTGTTAGGACACCTGAGTTTCTGAGAATTGAGGGGAACAGGATTAGTTTGGCCATAAGAGTTGGTTTGGTGTGTCAGCTCATGCACGTTTGTTGGTAGGAGGGTAGAAATCCGGTTGGGATAGGGTGTGGTGAACGCTGAAGCTTCCAAAGTGTGGGAAGATGTTAGATTAGTTGCAGAAGAGGCCTTGGAGCCTGAAATGGAAGGAGCGTTGGAAGGGATGGAGAGCTGTAGGGCTTATCAGAGAACAGCTATATTGAGCCTGGTTCTTTTTTTTTTTTTTTTTTTTTTTGAGACAGAGTTTTGCTCTGTTGTCCGGGCTGGAGTGCAGTGGTGTGATCTTGGCTCACTGCAACCTCCGCCTCCCCGGTTAAAGCGATTTTCATGCCTCAGCCTCCCCAGTAGCTGGGATTATAGGCGCGCGCCACACGCCCGGCTAATTTTTGTATTTTTAGTAGAGAAGGGGTTTTGCCATGTTGGCCAGGCCTGTCTGGAACTCCTGACCTCAAGTAATCCACCCATCTCTGCCTCCCAAAGTGCCGGGATTAACAGGCGTAAGCCACCGCGCCCGGCCTTGAGCCAGCTTCTAAATGAGTTTAGCAGAATTGCGGTATAATTTGTCCAACCGTGTGGTTTCACCTTTAAGTGAATGGATCATACCTGTTTGTCCAAGATAAAGATATTCACTGAGGCTTTGGTGTGTGATATTATTATAATGTGAGTTTATAGCCGTGGGTGACTTTGATCAAGTCTACTCAGACTCCAGGAAAGGAGACATCTTTCTGCCATAGGTCTCAGGTAATGAGGGTGGCTCGGACATCTGTTCATTTTACCTTTATCCAAGTATAAATGATTGCAATGCAGGAATGCCCTTTCTAGGATGGGAATATGTTGCAGGTGAAATAATCTGTTAATTTCTAAACGATAGCATCTGTTTGGGATTGCTTCTTGGATTTGCCTACTATTTTTGACTCAAATCTTTCAAAATATTGTGATCTATTTAGCTAGTCACTCATCCATTTATTCATAGTATTTGTGTCATCATCAAAATGCTCTGCCAGATGTTCAAGTGCAAAAATAAAGATGCTTAAGTGAAGCAAATGAAACCCAAAGATCTAAATGGCTTTCCTGGGACCTCAGGAACTTGGAGTAGCAAGGTTTTTCGTTTCTTTAGTTTGTTTTTGTTTTTGAGACAGAGTCTCACTTTGTCGCCCAGGCTGGAGTGCAGTGGTGCAATCTCGGCTCACTGCAACCTCCACCTCCCAGGTTCAAGCAATTCTCTGCCTGCCTCAGCCTCCCCAGGAGCTGGGATTACAGACACCGACCACTACGCCTGGCTAATTTTTGTATTTTTTTTTTTTTTTTTTTTTTTGAGACGGAGTTTCGCTCTTGTTACCCAGGCTGGAGTGCAATGGCGCGATCTCAGCTCACCGCAACCTCTGCCTTCTGGGTTCAGGCAATTCTCCTGCCTCAGCCTCCTAGGTAGCTGGGATTACAGGCACGCGCCACCACACCCAGCTAGTTTTTTGTATTTTTAGTAGAGACGGGGTTTCACCATGTTGACCAGGATGGTCTCAATCTCTCGACCTCGTGATCCACCCGCCTCAGCCTCCCAAAGTGCTGGGATTACAGGCTTGAGCCACCGCGCCCGGCCCTAATTTTTGTATTTTTAGTAGAGATGGGGTTTCACCATGTTGGCCAGGCTGGTCTTGAACTCCTGATCTCATGATCCACCTGCCTCAGCCTCCTAAAGTGCTGGGATTACAGGCGTGAGCCACCATGCCCGGCCTTTTTTTGTTTGTTTGTTTCTTTTAAGTGTAGTCATTGTATTTAGTCTTCCTGAAGTGGAGGCACAAGCTGCTTGTCTTTCTTAGGAATAAACTAGATCCAAGTACTCTCTTCCTTAGTCTCTATATATGAGGAGAAAGGCAATGTAATGACTAAACACATATCAGGACAATTTTTTTTTTTAAAAAAAGGTGATTGTCATAGAAAAAGCTCTCTGCTTTTCATATAAAATGTGTGCCAATATGGGAATTTCCCCATGTTAGTAGCAAGAGGAAATAGCTTGTTGCTTATAAATACCCACTTTATATCAACTTATGTATCTCTTCAGATTCCAAAGTGTTCTCTCAGATGGCTGAAGACATATATCCCCTGGCAGAGCTGCTGGAAGGGATCCTTCACCTGTGGGAATTCTATCTGAATGTTTCTATGGTATTCCAGTGTCAGGGGAGGACAGGTGGATGGGAACACTGAGCTGAAAGCATTGTGGTATGGTATTTCTTGGCTAGGAAGGACAGGCACCTTGTCTCATGTTTGCTCTTAGGAAAGTTTAACCCTAGAAGCACTCTTGCTATTTTGTTTCTCTTAAGACCCATTACTTCAGTAATAAATAGAATTCACTGCTGAATTGCCAATTCCTCTTCTTACTGTTCTGGTCTTCCATAAAGGAAGTAGAGCCACTCTACTCTTTTGTTGTTGTTTTTTAGACAGGGTCTCGGTGTCAGTCTCACTCAGGTTGGAGTGCAGTGGTGCAAAGCTCACTCTAGCCTCAACCTCCTTGGTTCAAGCAGTCCTCCTGCCTCAGCCTGTCATAGGTGCTCACCAGTATGCTGAGCTAATTTTAAAGAAAAATTGCGGGGACAGGTGTGGTGGCTCATGCCTGTAATCCCAGCACATTGGAGGCCAAGATGGGCAGATCACTTTGAGGCCAGGAGTTCGAGACCAGCCTGGCCAACATGGTGAAACCCCATCTCTACTAAAAATACAAAAATTAGCTGGGCATGGTGGTACATGCCTATAATCCCAGCTACTCAGGAGACTGAGTCATGAGAATCGCTTGAACTGGAGAGGTGGAGCTTGCAGTGAGCCACGATTGCACTGTTGCACTCCAGCGTGGGCAACAGAGGAAAACTCTGTCTCGAAAAAAAAAAAATTAACAGGCTGGGTGTGGTGGCTCATGCCTGTAATCCCAGCACTTTGGGAGGCCAAGAAGGGCAGATCACTTGAGCCTAGGAGTTTGAGACCAGCCTTGGCAACATGGTGAAACCTTGTCTCTACAAAAAAAAAACTAAAAATTAGCTGGGTGTGTTGGTGCACACCTGTAGCCCCAGCTACTTGGGAGGCTGAGGTGGGAGAATCGCTTGAGCCCGGGAGGTTGAGACTGCAGTGAGCCATGATCACACCACTGCACTTCAGCCTGCGTGACAGAGTGAGACCCTATCTCAAAAATATAAATACAATAAGGCCGGGCACGGTGGCTCAAGCCTGTAATCCCAGCACTTTGGGAGGCCGAAATGGGTGGATCACGAGGTCGAGAGATCGAGACCATCCTGGTTAACATGGTGAAACCCCGTCTCTACTAAAAATACAAAAAATTAGCTGGGCATGGTGGCGCGTGCCTGTAATCCCAGCTACTCAGGAGGCTGAGGCAGGAGAATTGCTTGAACCCAGGAGGCGGAGGTTGCGGTGAGCCGAGATCACGCCATTGCACTCCAGCCTGGGTAACAAGAGCGAAACTCTGTCTCAAAAAAAAAAAAAAAAAAAAAAAAAAAAAAATATATATATATATATATATATATATATATATATATATATAAAATAAAATAAATTTTTATAGAAAAAGGGTCTCACCATGTTGCCCAGGCTAATCCGGAACTCCTGGCCTCAAGCAATTCTCATGGGTCAGCTTCCCAGAGTTTTGGAATTACTGGCATAGCCACTGCCCCAGCCTAGATGGAGCCACTTGTAGAATGCAATAGAAGGCATATCAAAATATTGGGGCCTGGCCTTGCGTGGTGGCTCATGCCTGTAATCCCAGCACTTTGGGAGGCCGAGGTGGGTGGATCACGAGGTCAAGAGATCGAGACCATCCTGGCCAACATGGTGAAACGCCGTCTCTACTAAAAATACAAAAAATTAGCTGGGCATGGTGGTGCGTGCCTGTAATCCCAGCTACTCAGGAGGCTGAGGCAAGAGAATTGCCTGAACCCAGGAGGCGGAGGTTGCGGTGAGCTGAGATCACGCCATTGCATTCCAGCCTGGGTAACAAGAGCGAAACTCCGTCTCAAAAAAAAAAAAAAAAAATACGGAAGTTAGCTGGGCATAGTAGCATGTGCCTGTAATCCCAACTTCTTGAGAGGCTAAGGCAGGAGAATCACTTGAACCCGGGGGGCAGAGGTTGCAGTGAGCCGAGATCATGCCACTGCACTCCATCCTGGGTGAAGAGTGAGACTCTTGTCACAGAAAAGGAAAAAAAGAAAGAGAGAAAGAGGTATATTTGGACGATTAGTAATCTTTCCTACATGTTCTCTTTTCTTTTTCAGAGCCCAGCATCCTTTCAACATTTTCTCATTCTCAAATCCTACCTATTTAGTTTGTAGAAGCAATTCATGTAATAATCAGACTGTTAAAAGCTGGAACTCCAACATACTTTTACCGACAGTAACTAAGGCTTAGAAACATCCTCCAGTTTTTCAGAGGTTACAGTACACAGCTGGTCATTTTCCCCAGCCCAGTGCTCTTT